CGTAATCAGAAAATACTATTTGTCTCAATAATGAACAGTAGTCATACAATGGTGATAAAACCATATCGGAGCACTGGGTAAGGAGAATGAGAACTGAGTGACCATGGTATAGTAAAAATAGTCTCCATATCCTATAGTAGGAAATCAAGTGAATAATATCTGACATTTAAAATTAAGAAATAGTTGTAAATGTATTATTTGGAAACATGGAGATAAATTAACAGATGATATAGTTGAAATTGTTGAAAATGATTGCCTCTGGGGGACAGGACTGAGGAGATGCAAGAGAAGGGACAAGAATAAGTTATTTCTTGTTATATGCCTTGTGTTCTGTTATATAATTCAAATTCTGTCTTATTACTTTAACAGAATATTAAAATTTTGTTTAAAAACAGAAGAAAGCATTGTCTTCACATATACATTTAAGACAGTCACACGGAAAACTCACACAGACAACATCTCTGTGCAATAAAAGTGGGAAATAACAACAAAAAAGACAGTGCCCATTCCCTTTGGAAATAAAGCAAGCAAATAGCGTGAAACACTCATCTAAGTAAACCTTGAGATAAGAAGAAAACAGAACAAAAATTATAGATTCTTTAAAGACAAATAGCAGTGACAAAAATACATATCAAAATCTAACGGATGTGGCTAAAATAGCAGTAAGAGGAAATGTTATAGCCTTTTGTGAATTTGTTTAAAAACAAATCCTTAGAACTTTAGAAATAAATGAATAATACAGTAAGTCTAAATAAAGTAGCAAAAGGAAATAACCCATTAGAAAACAAACAAACGGCAAAGTCTTGATCATGAAATCAAAAGTCGTGACAAGACAAAACAAACAAAAAACTAGACAAACATTTGGGAAGCCTAATTAATATAAACAGATATGACAGTCAGGGGGGTTGACTCTCCAAAAACCATTCCACCTCCAAATGATTAAGCTAAAGTAAGTTATTCCCTTTTCTAGTGATTGATTTAGGAATGGGCATGTGACCTGGGCCTGACCAATAATGATGTGATGGGAAGATTGCTGGAGAAACATTTTCTCACTCTTAAGAAAGAGACACATAGAAGAGGTGGTTAGCACTTTTCTTTGTCTAGATCTTTGGAAATGATGCCTGGAACAGCTGTAATCGTCATGCTGCTAGGCCAAGGGCAGTGCGTGGAAGATTGCAGGACAGCACACCCAGAGTAAGGTACACAGGAGACACGCTGTCTCTGAGCTTTCTGTTGTGTAAGATAATACATTTCCCTATCCTTTAAGCCAAATTGAATCTGATTTCCTGTTATTTCCAGCTGAAGTCATCTAACAAAAGAAAGCAAGCCCAAAAGCTAGGTATGAGAGAGAGAATAGAAATGCAGACACATAGTAATAGTTGCTCAGTCGTGTCCGACTCCTTTGTGACCCCATGGACTGTAGCCTGCCAGGGTCCTCTGTCCATGGGATTTTCCAGGCAAGAATACTGGAGTGGGTTGCCATTCCCTCCTCCAGGGGATCTTCCCTCCCCAGGAATCGAACCTCGGTCCCCTGCATTGCAGGCAGATTCTTTACTGTCTGAGCCACCAGGAAAGCCTACAGATACATAGATTATTACCAAAAGATAAAAAAGATACAGTGTATAGCTGCATATCAATAAACTGGATGGTTTCTAGGAAAGTAACATTCTTTCAAAATTGACACCAGTGAGATAGAAAAGCCTTATGAAACCAGTAATGACAGGGGAGAAAAACTTTGTCAAAGATGGATCCTAAAAAGAGTATCAAGCCCATAGGATATGTGTTAATACTGAGTTATTTTGGTTGTGCTGGATCTTCATTGCTGTACACGGGCTTTCTCTAGCTGGGGCGAGCAGGCGCCTCTCTCGAGTGGTGTTCAGGCTTCTTACTGAAGCGGCGTCTCTATTGCAAAGCGCAGGCTCTTGGTGAGTGCGCTTCAGGAGTTGTGGGCCATGGGCTCAGTCGCTCTGCAGCATGTGGGATCTTCCCAGACCAGGGATCAAACCAGTGTCCTTTGAATTGCAAGTCAGATTCTTATCTATGAGATCACCTGGGAAGTCTTCCCACCCCCGCCGGGATATTACAGGAGACTTCTATCAAGTCTAAATTAACTGAGATAAAAGGAAGTTGAAGGATCCTAGAAACATAAAAAGCAGGGCAGATTCAGGCATGTAGGAAGTTAGTCTAATCTGGGCAGTGCCATTGGGATGAATGAACTTCATTCGTTTTCAGTCACAGCGTCACTTTGCTCAAAGGCACTTGGTATAGGCATTCTCATAGACTAATGGTGGCAATATTTCTATGAATCTTCTTGGTAATGTGAATTGAGCCATAAAAAATATTTGTACTGTTTTTAATCTAGTAATTTCTCATCCATGCCAATTAAATACCCAGAAAGAGGGGGAAAAAATCTGTAAAACATATACATTGCAGCACTATTTTAAGAGGAAAAAGTTGTAATGAAGCTTTTTCTGTTTAAATGTAAGACAGAGTATTAAAAGATTAAAGTATTTTTGAAAACTAATTAATCTTGAGAGAAACTAACTCCATGGTAACTTTTAAAGTATGAATTTGTTAACTAATAAACTAGCATCTGCATGTGTTGATTACTTGCAGATTTGTAATAAATGTATGTGTGTATAAGTATGCGTATAAAATGGACGATTTAATTTCTCTTTATTCTGTGTGTGTACATATGTGCATGTGTGTGTACAAAAGAGTTGTTCAAATCTGTTTCTCCTATCTATACAGGAGAAAAAAGTCATTAAACTCAAATAGAAAATGTGAAACTCAAAAAAAAATTAAGTAAATTCCAGGGAAACAGCTCCTGATTGAGCCAGCTTGGGGTGCATGTTCTCCTCTGGAACTACGGATGAGGTCAGCCCACCTACCTACATGAAATGAGAGGGGGAATAGAGCTATTTAGTCAAAGGGAAGTCGGGCTCTGTTACTATTAACAGAATCAGGGAAAATCAATGCTGAGTAAGAAAATAGTCCATTATAATCAGATTGGAAAAGTTAAAAATACTCAGCATTGACAAAGGGGTCAGGAACTGGGTACCCTAATATACTTTGGGAGGATATGTAGACTGCTTTTTTTAAAGACGAGAGTATCCTTTGAGCCAATGATTCTACTTCTAGGAATTTATCCTGAAGAAATACTCACACATGTAGTCAAAAACATCATTCAAGTATGTTGTTCACCACAGTATTGCAAATAACCATGAAAAATTGTTAATATTTAAGATATTAGTTAAATAAAATATAGCATAGCATTTGTGCTATGGAATACTATATAATCCTTAAAAAGAAAATACTTCCATGGAAGAGCTCCGTAATATACTATAAATAAAAATAAACTGCATAAGTATAAAAATCCAGAAATATACTCCAAAATTCAACAGTAGTTACCCACGGAAAAGGAAACAGGATTAGGGGGTAAGAACAAAATGGAACTCTCACTTTTCCTCTCTATATTTCAGTATTATTTCAGTTTTCATGCTCACAATGAGCATGAGTTTTTGCCTATGTGTATTTGTAAATAGGCAAAAATACAATGCGATTGAATTTTAAAAACCCATATGCTTATACATATTATTATAGACAGAAACATGGATTGAAATTTTTTAAACATTAGCATTGATTGTTTCTATTTTGTGATTTTATAGGTGATCTTAATTATCTTTTGTAGTTACCTGTATTTTATTTTAAAAATTGCATAGTAAAATAATTTACATATAAATAAAATAAATTGCTAATATGTAATGTATAAATAGAGGGACATACATTGTTATTGTAAAAAGGGCTTGAGTATGTGAACAAGAAGACCACAACAGAAGAACTATGAACGGCTAATACTCTTAAACACTCTCATTCTAAAGGCACATATTTTGGCATAAAGTAAGCCCTCAATACCCCAATAATTGCAATTACTATTCCTTATTGTATAGCAATACATGAACATGAAACCTCATGAAAACTACTCAACAAAGGAAGCTGCTAAATTCTGAATGCAAAAATGTTGCACAATGTTCCTGTTAGAGTCCCAGGAAAATGAGGCCTCTCTAAGGACATCTCCTGAGGAAGCTGTCAGTCATGTTTCTAACCTCCCGGAACCTTCTCTGAGAAGTTCACATCCTTCTGATAACTCTAACAGGGGAAGAGCAGGGCAGAAAGAGTCAATAAATCTCCGTTCAGGACTCATCTGAAGTTTGGCTTCCTGAGAACCGGTGTTTATTTGCCATGGGAGGAAGAGAAAGAAGACATGGAAACAAGAACACAAAGTCACTGAAAGAAGGGTGTATGGTTTTAAGATGAGGGATACTTGTCCAACACTCCAAACATTTTCTTTGCCCAACCTCCTGCCCGTTACTACCTTCCCAACATTCTTACCATTGAAAAGAAAGAGACCCCAGATCAGTCCATATTCTAATTGGTTCAGTGATTAAAAGATGAGTGGGCTGTTGTTTGTGTAGTATTTTATTATAAAAGTAATATATGGTCTGTACAGAAGAATTAACAAAGCAAATGAAAAGCACCAATAATTCCATCCCCAGAAACAATCACTTTTAATATATTGGCATATGTTAGTCTATTTCAAGATTTCTGAAATCATCCATGTTTATCTAATTTTTCTCATATAACCTGTAACATATTTCCATGTTGCTGCAATCTCTTAATGAAAGTAACTTACACTGGCTGTGTGAATGTATAATAGAAGAGTCCTGATGATGAGAAGTGCTGAGGCAAGGAATAAGTCAGCGGTCAGTTATCTGAGGTTGTATCATCTGTGAATGTTAGAACAGGGAGCTTCAGGACTCAGAGGAGCTAACTCTGGAAAAGTCATTCTCTTTCTTTAGAACTGCAGTATCCTCTTCTCCTCCCTAAGAGGAGTTCAGGCCAGAAGACACCAGATCCTGGCCTCTCCGATTCACGCCCCCCCCCCCCCCCCCAGTCCCAGGCAAGACCACGAAAACTAAAGGTGTTTCTGGTAATCAGACTCTGTGTCTTCCTCTGCAATGTCCGGGTGCGAGAGGAGTGAATAGGTGACTGTATTCTCAGCCTAGAGAAAGCAGAAAGGAGCAGTGAGGATCCACGGAGAGGTCACAGGAAGGAAGGCCACAGAAGCGGCAGCAGGGGTGAAGGAAAAGGGGAAAAGCAGGCAGCTGGATGGCTCACCTCAGTTCTGGCAGCATCAGCTTCAGCATCATTGAGACCGGCTATGGGCAAAAAGAACAGAGATGAGCAGGCGCACTGCTATAGCATGGGGCCTATCCACACTGCTGCGGAGACCCAAACCAGGCTTGAGGTGAGGACCACTGACCCCAACTCAGCCCTGCAGGCCAAAAACTTCATTCCCAATCTACCCTCAGTATCCCAGACATGGCACCGCCACCAGCTACATTAGCAAAGGGAGACAGTCATCTGTACTACACCCTTTTCAGAAAATCACTGTTTTCTTCGAAGCCACCAGGCAGCTTTTGGGATTGGAGATACTGGGGAAGAGGTGTGTGTTTGGCGGGGGTGGGGGGGGGTGGGGGGGGGGTGGTGTTCACTATTAGAGTGAAGTAATTCAGATTTTTGCCAGCCACAGATAGAACCTTTCCAGGTTGGCCACATGTATTGGGTTGGCCAAAAGTTCATTCAGATTCTTCTGGAAGCTGGTACAGAAAATCCTGAAAGAACTTTTTGGCCAGCCCAATAGCATATCTTTGTTGGAGAGCTGAAGAATCTCATACTCCCTCATATCAAAAAGAAATAAAGCGTGAGAGTGAGCAGGGGAGGCGTAAGAGAAGGAAAGAAGGAAGCAAGCAAGCCAGCCAGTACTCTCCTTGGTAAAGATCTAAAACACATGCAAATTTCCTCATGTTTTTGCCAACAAACTCACTTTGCCAGTGCGGAAAGCAGCTCAGTATCTGCAAAGCAGCATTCCTCAGGAAGTGGGGAAGGAGTCTGAGACAATACATCTAGTGTCTTCATTCATCTCCAGGACACAACGAGTCCCTGTATGCCATGCTCCAACTTCTGGAACAAACCACGTCCTGAATCCTCCTTCTAATGCATCCCTCTACAATCCCAGCAACCTAGATGAGCCTTTGGGGAAACCATCAGCCCCAGTGCCTTCCTGTGAAATAAACACCTTGTGAAATATATTTATGCCAGTATAGGGAGCCAGTGTAGTGGCTAATCCACTTGTGTTTGGACATTTTTTCCTACGTCGGTTTGGCCCCAGTGCAGACTCAGGTCCATGTCCCCACTTGGCCTGGCCACAGGACCTAGGGGTCTTGCTCAAAGTGCAGCCGGACAGCTGGGCCATTTTGCTCAAGCTCTCAAATCTGTTGGCTCTGCTCTGAGCCATACTCCAGCCATCCGAGGTGGGGTCCTCAAAGGCTTCTTTTTCCTGTCTATTTCTGCTGTCTGGGAGCCCCCAGAGAAAGCTCCAGGTCCCTCCGAGCTCTGGCTACAGTCAGGAAATCGCTTGGAATACTCCTGCTCCTTTAACATATTCCCACTTGGGCCAGGGTTGACGGGCACTGACTCTCAGAATGTCAGACCTGGAAGGCTTAGAGGTCCTCCAGGCCAATCCACTCATTTCCTCCGTGAGGTGGTTAAACCCCAAGAGAGGAAACGACACTCTAGATTCCATTTTATGATAGCAACCGAGCTAGTGCCAGGCCCACATTTAACAAACCTATCGGAGTGGGCATTAGATCCAGGCTTTCCATTAGCGGAAAGCCTGCTAATGTAGCTAGTACCCAGAACTTTCTCGGCCTAAAATCTTCTCTTCATGTTCCACTAAGAGTTGAGCCCTTACCCCATCGCTTACCCCATCTCCTCTTACCCCATCGCTGCAGAGAGACAGACTGCAGCAAATCCAGACTTTATTCTCTTGCCCTCTTTCTCCTTTCCTCTAGAGTTGTATCTTTTTAATTCTATTTGCCTTAGCCTTACAACATCTAACCCCCACCCTTTACCAGCTCTTCCAAAGCTCCACAGAAAGACCTAAATATATTTTTTAGTTCTGCTCTGGAAACACCCCTAGCAGTTCTAGCCCCAGAAACTCAGACAAGGCCACTGTCTCTCTATCTAGGATAGGTGTTCATCTCCAGTGAGGTCCTCTTCAGGCCCAGGAGTTCGTCTCAGAACTGACCAAGAGATTTGAGCCCCTGCCCCCCTCCCGCCCCCTCCCTCTCGGGAGCCACAAGCCGCTTCCCCCCTGATGCACACAGCAGGGTGTCGCTGAGCCCCCAGCGGGGAGCCGCACTCACCTGGCTCCTCAGGGAGGGTCTCCCCCCTTTCCCTGGGCTCAGGGGGTCCTGGGAGAGCTAGGAGGGGCACACAGGAGGTTAGTAGGATTACGGGGTAGACCCTAAGTCTTCAGGACCGAGGACCAGAGGCAAGACTGGGTTAGAACCAATACACACCCCCCTCCCCCCCACTCCCCAGAGACTACCTTAGCCCGTAAAAGGGCTGGTCTAGAGAGATAGAAGTTGGCTAGGTTAATAGTAGGGACTCATGGGACTGTCAGCAAGGCCACTCCATTGCACCTTTCTTCAGCTTGCTCTGCCTTTCAAAAGCATCTCTTTCTCCCTCTCAGTTTTTCTCACTGAGTCTCTACATTTACTTATCATCGGTAACTGAGGTCTTGGCTATGAACCAATTGTGAAGTGCTTTGTGAGGTATAAGTAGTAGTATTTTCTCTTTGTCAGCGGCTCTGAGTCTTTCTTCCCTTTTACTTTCTCCATGTCTGGATAACTTTAGCGCTTTCTCTCACCAGTAAGCTAGCTTTACAATGTTAAGAATTGTGATGATCTGCTTACTAGATTTCTATAGTACCTTCCCTTCTCTCTCAGCTATTTTACATTAATATTAATACTATGGGGGGAAGGAGACTGCTTTCCAAGAGGTGAAGTTCTTCAGTCGATGAGTGAAGAGATGTTTACTAATCATCTTGCTGTGTGGCAAGCACTGTGCCAGGTGCTGATGGGAAGCGGAAGGAAGCACAGAACAAAGAGACATGCTTACTGCCCTCCTGTGCCCTGTGGAATACACACTAGTTCTTTAAAGGTAGCCTATGTCAATTCCGTGAACTTTCTGCCCTCCTTCACCTTCTTTTTTTCTGCGTCACCATTTATGGCTTCGATGGCATCAAATTGCTTACATCACCCTCCTTACTGTTCCCCTGATCCCCTTCCTAGCCAAACTGTTTATTATTTCCATGTCTTGGCCCCCACGCCTGGAATGCTCATCTACCCTTTGCCTGGTTAACTGCTACCCTCAAACATCACCTCCTCCATAATGTTAACAGCCCGTCCTGTATGATGTGAGCTGTGTGCTGGGCACTGTTATAAGATCTGCAGGCTCATTCATTCTCATAACCTTATGAGGTAGGTTCTGTTTGTGTCCTCATTTTTCAGGTGAAGAAACTGAGGCACATAGAAGTTGAACATGATGAGAAAAACAACTGTTTTCCTGAAAGAAAACAACAACTTTGTTTCCCTGAGTTACCACCTAAGAGTTTTACAGTATGATAACCCTGCTTACAGTCTGGACATTTAAGATAAGGACTTGAGTTTAGGATTCCCGCCGTTAAGTTCTCACTTTGATTTTCCTGGGGCATCTTTCAAAATAACCTCTTAGATGTTAAGCCCACAAATATGTTAGTGTCCTCCACCTCAATCACTTTATAAATAATAGTTGCTTGATACCCTGTCCTCTCCTTCTGACCCATGACCTGGGGCAAAGGACTGACAGCCCCTTCTCATTTCTGGGATCTCTAAGTGGCAAATCTTGTGACTCTACTTCCTTTATGAGAATGTATTGAAACTGTATTTTCAATCAAAATGACCCAGGGTTTTCACTTCCCCAATCTAGGAGCTCAGATGCTGAAGGAGCTGCCAACCCCATGTGGGCGGCTTATGCCTCCTCATTCAGCTGGTCATGATGTGCATACTCTTAAGACACCAGCTCCAGCGTCTCGAAACACAGAGAATAATGCACCCAATGTTATTCAGCTGGTGAGCTGAGGAGCTTAGGTTTGCACTTAGGCAGTCTGACCCCACCAGTTGAGCTTCAATTACAATGCAACACTACCTCCCTATGAAGTTTTCTCTAACTGGCCCAGGCCATGCTGGGTCATTCAGGTTCTTCTATCCCTGTCATAGCCTATGCATTCTCTAATACTGGTCTCATCTTCTCTAATTACTATTTGTACTTCAGTCTTCTCCACAATATTATGGACTCCCTAAGGGCAGAGGCTGAACTTTAACTTGGCATCATCCACAGAGTCTATCACAGTGCTTGACACATAAGCCAATTTGTTCAGGCCTGTTAAATGAATGAATAATAAAATATGGGACTACATCTGAATGCTAAGGATTCTCTGGCCCAGAGATAAGCGTTCTAGCAATGTTTGGGGTTAAGGTCTCAGCTAAGAAGGAACTGATAACAAGAGGGACCGAGAGGAACCACAAACCTGAAATTGGCTTTCTCCTGAGGCGGAGCCAGGCTACTACGGCAGCAACAATAGCCACTGCAGCAAAACAAGCGCCTATAGCCACAACTGTCACCGACGATGAGGGGTCGCTGGAGCTGGACTCTGGGGAAGACAGACCTCAGGACAGGCAGTGCCCTCCCTTTTCCACGTTACCCTCCCTGCCCTCCTGCGATGCAACACTCGCTTCCTCCCCCAACCTCACCTGCACAGGAGTTCTGTGACCGGGCTTATGCTTCCCCCATACCCTTTGATTTCTCTGCTAATCAAATGAAGGCACACAGTTGAGTGTATAAGGTGGAGGGAAGGGTTCCTCTTAGCCCTTGGGATAGCAGGGAGGGTGAATCTGAAGCCTCCAACCCTGGACCCCTAAACTGTTAAAAACATGCTATACCTTTGGGAGTGAATGGACATATCATGAAACATGAGAAAAATCTAGGAAAACTTCAGTTCTTAGGAATGTCCAGGAGCTTTGGGAACTTCTATACCAATGAGAAAGCTCTGCTTCACTGCTGTGCTTGGCATGATGGGCTTATATTTCAAAGTAGAATAAGAGCCTCATCACCTGTCACCTGAGAGCTGAGGGTTCCAAGCTCTGGACAGCATTTAACAAGTTGCCCATACCCCTGCCCTTTGCCCAAGCCCAGGTTTGGTACTATGGCATTTCTCAAATCTCCATTTGAGACCATGTGACTTTATTCCTAACTATCCATCTCTTCTCCCATCCTTTCATCTTGAGAGAGTCCCCACCTTGGACAGTGATGTTCACTGGCTGTGACGAGTGTGGCGTCTTCCCGATAAACGCTGTGCAGTGGTACTGGCCACTGTGACTGAAGTTGGCACGTGGGATAGAGAAGTTGGAACGCAGGTAGGAAAATGTCTTGGATTTCCCATCCTGGTAGAATGTGATCTTATTCAGAGGGTGGTTTCTCCAGCTGTGGCACCTCAGCACGATGGGCTCCCCTTCCTGGAATACGAGGCTGGGGGTCTGGAGCAGCAGCCAGTCTGAAAGACACAGAGGGACCGCAGGACCCAGAAGGTCTTGATTCAGATCTTAGACCCAGACCATCCGGGGGCCAGTATGCGTGGAGGGCAGTTTAAATGTGGAATCACACACCCCTGGTCTCTAATTCTGGCTCCTTCAGGCACGCACCCTGTGATCCTGGGTAAATAATGAATTCTTCTGGGCCTTAGTTTCCTCGTATGCAGAACTAGTCACAATAGTACCATTAGCTGTACTGTCTACAGTAGTTGCTGGCACACAGTAGGTGTTCAGATATGCTTGTCTTCTCGTTCCTATCCTGGGAGATGCCAGCTGCAGCCCTGTCTGGCCCAAGAGGCGTCTGCAGGAGGATACAGGGGACCCGGGAGTGAAACCCCTTCCCTAAGGGAGGGAGGGAGGGAGGGAGGAAAGGGAGAAGCCAGTCTGAGAGAGGACACAGCATGTGAGGGGGACACAGAAGAGACCTGTGTCCTTGGGGAAAGCCATGGGCATCCAACAAATATTAGCTTACTTAGTGCTTGTTAGTAAACGTGGAATTTCATTTCAGCGGGGACTTTGTCTCAAGCCAGCAGTGACATGGGTGGGCCATTAATTAGCCTGCTGTGTACTTTCCCCCCAGTCATTTTAATCCTTTTGCTGAGGAAATGTTTTTAATTTCTTTATAGTTTAAGGAATAGAAGCTTAGGTAGGTACTTATAATCCTGACTTCAGCCCATGCCCTCTGTTTTCCTGAAGCTGTAGGACAGAGCAGAGTTGGAATTGGAAAGGAAGGGTAGAAAACAACAGATACATTGGAAGGGAGAAGGGGAATAAAAAATATATATATATAGCCACACATGTGCCAGTCAACACACTTAGTCCCTTCAGCAGATCAGAAAGATGCCAACCAAGCCTCTACATTGGCTGGTGAGCCTGCCACATATGGGGAAAGAAATGTTCAAAGCAGAGGGAGTGAGTGACAGTGAAGAGAAAACCATGGGCCACAGGTATAGTGAGACAATGCAGAGGGAAGGTGGGGGCACCCGACTTTTGCACCATGTCACACAGGCTAGAAAATCCCATGCCTAATACTGGGGGCGCAGTCTTGTGTTCCACCCACTTCCTCCCCAACCACCCTGTGTAGCCCTCTTCTTGAGACACTCAGACCCCAGCTAGGCGTTTTACCCCAGGATTAGTTGAGCAATCCTTGGTCTCTAGTCTGCTTCTTTTTAAAGGTTGGATTAAGCTAGACGGAAATGCTGAGAACTGTAGAGATTTTTTTTAAATGAAGTAGAATCCAGAGAAAATGTCAAAGCTGCTTCCATGTAGCACCTGCAACCAATTACTTCTCCTCCCTGTCTGGGGAATCCCCTCGACAGAAGGTGTACATCCTTAGAGCAGCACTTTCTTCTCAGCAAAGGCCCCACTGGTGCCAGATTTTAACCTATACAGTGGGAGCCTCAGCCTTAGGGTGGTTTGTATAAGAGGGCCATCTGAGGTCTCCTTGAGGACAGTTCTTTGGTGCAGATCCTGAGGGTAGGGCCCAGTTTCATGTTCATGGCACTCATGAGGTGTTCTTTAAGTCATAAAAGGACATTTTCATCAAACTCCTGGGAAAAAAACTCCTCTGCAATCTCCTGGAAGCCTTGCAGAGAAGCAACAAACCTATATACCTCTACACTCCAAAGGCTAAGATTGCTAGACAGGAACACAGGGTCGATGCCATGAATCCTGGCATAGGCAGAGCCAAATGGAAGTTTCCCAGGTCTCGTTCCCCATGCCCAGTTCTCACTGATAAAGGCCCAAGATGTTGGAGAGAGTGTTTTCATCATAACTGAAATTCCCTGAACCCCAGCTAGAGTGCTCTTGACCCCTGCTGCACTTGCCCTGGATGATAGCATGGATGATGTCAGAGGAGCAGAAGCAGGGTCCACACTGGTGAACACAAGATAGTGAGCTTGCTGAAACTCTTTCATTTTTTTCCCTCTTCAGCCAGAACTGGCAGCTACAGTTCACACAGTACCTCTTAGTGCAACTCATGAAGCAGAAAACTCTTGGAGCCATAGAACTCTTCTTCAGGAGTGTACTTCCCACAGTGCTGGAACTTTGGGAGATTTGTCTTCTTTACTGCTGAGTAGATGGGTTGTCCCCTTCACTGGAGCCACCTGGCTGATTATTATTCAGCCCTGTTGGGAGGCTTATCAAACTCTTTCAGTAGTGGAGAACATTGGGAACATTTCTGCTCAGTCCTGGATACCAAAGCCCTCAGTTATCTGGGTGAGCATCTGGGGCTTCACAGTGCCTTGCTGAGGTTTGAGTCTCCATCTGTCTGGATACCATGGCTAGCATAGAAGGTGGTGCTGATGAGCAGGGGCCTGGGCTGCCAATTCGTCGCTTGGTGAATTAGCATTCCCATTGGTCACTAGTTCAGCTTCTTCTCCAAGACTGCTCTCCTTGTCCATGGTCTTGGGCTCTCTGCTGCCTGAGAACCCTTGGCAGGAGCATTGAACTCAGCATGGAGACATCATCTCCCTCCTCCTTGCACTGGACAGCCGATGTCTGGGGTTGTCCAGTCAGTGCAGAACAGCGGGGACCTGTATTGTGGTGGCTGAGGGGCAGTGAGGCTCGTGGGTGCTGCCGCTGCTGGGCCAACTGGAGGTGCGTAGCTGGGTGGAGGAGTACTGGGTCTGACGGTGCTGGAGCTGTAGCTAGTGGTCGAGAACAATCTGCGATCGGATAACCACTTGTTTCTTCAAGAGCTGGATCTGTTGCTGTTGCTAAATCAGTGAACGGGGCTTGATGGGAGTGACCGAGTTCATAAGGGTCTGGCTGGGAGCAGGTATGGCTGTCCGTGTCAGGTTCATGCCCTGCTGACCACTCCCATCTGCTTCTGCCTTCCTGGCCACTGCACTTCCTGCCTCTGGCTAACACTCAAGCTCAGTCACTGCCTGGATGTAGGCAAGGGTTCCACCCCTCCTGTGCCTTTCCTCGTGCAGCTCCTGCCACCACCTATTCCTCATGAGGGCGACTCACCCAAAGGCTGAGGTGCGTGCCCACTTCTTCCTGGACCCATGAGCCTATGTCCGGCCTCCACCAGCTGGACTAAGGTTAACAAACTGACCTGAAGTTCTAGAGAGAGTCTGAGCCACAGCTATGGCCTGGCAAAAGGCCTGGGGTAGGCCAGAAAAGAGGCATTAAAAAGCAAAAACATCACTTTGCTGTCCAAGATCCACACAGTCAAAGCAATGGTTTTCCAGTAGTCACGTATGGATGTGAGAGTCAGACCATAAAGAAGACTGAGCACCAAAGAATGGATGCTTTCGAATCACAGTGCTGGAGAAGACTTTTGAGAGTCCCTTGGACAGCAAGGAGATCAAACCAGTCAATCCTAAAGGAAATCAATTCGTTGGAAGGGCTGATGCTGAAGCTCCAATACTTTGGCCACCTGATGAGAAGAGCCAACTCATTGGAAAAGACTCCAATGCTGGGAAAGATTGAAGGCAAGGAAAGGGGATGATGGAAAATAAGATGGTTGGATGGCATCACTGATTCAATGGACATGAGTGGGAGAAACTCCAGGAGATAGTAGAGGACAGGGAAGCCTGGTGTGCTGCAGTCCATGGGGTCACAAAGAGTCAGACATGACCTAGTGACTGAACAGCAACAAAATGGGGAATAGCGTTCTGAGTGGAGCCTTGGGCTGAGACCCGTTGTTCCTCATCGCCAAGTTCTGTACTCAGCTGTATCTGCATGGACTCCAGGAGCCTGAGCAGATGGTACCTCCTATTGGACTACAGCCACTAACAGGCATCAGGATGAGTTGAAAACTAAAGGCACATTCTGGACCAGGGTCTGCTTTACCTAGGATTGGTTTCCCAGCTGCAGTCTTGGATACACCTAGGCCTGGGATAGGTAGAGGGAGAAGGATGTCGTGCTCCCCAGTAGCAAAGATTGGGTCAAAGTTGTAACACTGGAAGAGTTCACTCTGGGATTGGCTGGTGAATGGGGAGGCTGATGCCGTGGCCTGACTGACTGGGGCCTGGGTGGTGCTCAGCTGCTGTGTCTTGCTGGCATTTGAGGTGCTGGTCTGCTGCCTAGCAGCAGTTGTGGCCACCTGGACCACAGCCAGGCCATGCAGCTGGGCCTGCTGAAGTGCTGCTGGACACAAATTGGTGTAAATACTGAGGCCCATGGAGCTGCCCCAGCAGTGTCTGCAGAGCCTGCCCTGCCTCTTGTTTATAGCGTGCCTTGCCTTCTGTTGGCACTAGTCTCCATGGTAGCGGTCCAAGGTCCCCCGGGCTGGTGTTGGGCTCGAGCACTTCATATCTAGCTCTGCACCTAGGTCCCCCAGGGTGGCCCCCCTCATGTGCCAGTTGTTCTGTCATCAGTCACAGTGGTGGGGGGTGTCTCACAGAGTCCTGAGGAGAGGAAGCCCCTCCGCTCCACCCCTTCCTGGAGGGGCAGGGCACTGGGGCTAGGGCCCTGCCAGGCCACTGAGGCTTCCCTCCATGACTGTCCTTTCCTGCTAAGCACAGAGGGTAAGATGGCAGGACTGGGACTGAGGCCCACCTGGCCTATTAGATACTTGTGAGGAAAATTGGGGTATTCAGTGAGGGAAGGGGACTAAATGAACAGTAACCATGATAGTATTTATCATAATCACATTGCAGCTTTCTTTTTTTAATGGGGAAACTACTTCTTGCCAAGGGCTTTGGAAAATCATTGATTTGTTCAACAAACATTTATTAAGCCCTGCCCTGTGCCTGTGGCTGGAAATATAAGGAGATTAAGACATGAGTCTCATCTCAGTTGCACAGAGAGAGTGCAGGGATTAGGGAAATGCTGATTCTCACCAGAATCTCGTGTGGGAGGCAGTGGTATCTCCATTAGCAGGTGATGAAACTGAGGCTCAAAGGTAAATGAAATCATGTTTACACAGCTAGTAATTCCCAGGGCTAGGATTCAGTTGTGCTGTGTCTGTACATTTGACTGTGCCATAAAAATGGAAAGATTTCTATGAATTAGAGATTTTCTTCTGCTTCTCTCACACCCAGATGCCTGTTGGCGGCCTTGTCACCTTCTTGCTCAATCAGCACCAAGATAAAGGAGCCCAACATATTCTGAGAAATCTCTTAGGAACTTCCACCTCACCACTCACGCTAAGCCAAGGAGGTGGGTTGAAAAGGGAAATGGGTGGACCAAAACCACTTCAAACAACTCACAGCCATGCTTTCCAGTAAGTAGGCAACTGCCCTTTCCTAAAAACCTCTGCCATGTAAGCAGATTCCATCTCCCCTTGTTCTCCCAGACTCTCCAGGGCCTTCCTCCACTGACCAGAAATCACATCCAGATGCACAGGGTCGCTGAGGCTGGTCTGCTCCCTCTGGCACCTGTAGGATCCACTGTCATTGCTGCCGGCCTGAAAGCTGTAGCTGGGCTGGTTCTGGGTGTGGATGGAGCTCCCGTTATGGAACCACATGGTGAGGTTGCCTTCATAGAAGCTGGTCCCCTGGCACATCAGCGTCACACGATCCTCCCTGAGCACATTGATCCACGCAGGCTGGATGCTCACCACAGCTTTTGGGAGATCTGCCGAGGGGCAGAGAGAGGAGGCAGCATGAGGAAAAGGGGCCCCAAGGGCCTAAGCAGACCCCAAATCTCAGAAGATGGAAAACTGTGGCCGTGCTGGGGAGATCAAGAGAAGAACCCAACCCAGAACAGTTCTGCAACTGAAGGCAATTCCTCCAACTCATGTGGCCACACAGGGGCCCCCAGGAACCCAGATTCTCTCAGGGAGCTTGGCTCCTTCACCTCGGAGAAGGTGTGGGGTAGGGAAATGGGAGAGGGGGCAAGCAAACAGTCTAGAAACAAACACACCTCACCCGAGGAGCTCTCCCCAGTTTCTTCTCTCTGTCTCTATTTCTCTTTCTCTCTCAAACTCACACTCACAGACATGCACACACACACTGCACATACATCCTTTGGGGAATCACTCCCCCACCCTCATACACTGAGGCATTTGGACACTAGTGGATAAACTGTCTTCCCAGGCGGATGAAGACAAGGGGGCCATCTGGTGGAGGTGCCAGGCTGAGAGTCAGAGGTCACGCTTCTCGTCTGACCTGTTTCATTCTTTGTCCTTGAGAGTAGACTTGTCCTGACACCCAAGAACAGAGGAGTCTCTGTGGCCTCAGAAGAATAAGAAAGAGTGAGCCAGGCTGGAAGACCAGTCTAGGGAGCCCTGGATTCAGTGACCCAGGGAGAGCCCCACCCCCTATCAGTCCTGGGTGGTGGAGAGGTTAGTGGTGCTGAGAAAGCAGTGCCCAGCAATGTTCACCCCACCCAGCTGCAGCCAGTAATACCGCCTCTTAGTTCTCTCCAGGGTAACAGGCCCTGAAGACTTCAGATATATGCAAAGTAGATGATTTATCGACCCATGGGGATAACCTAAGCAGATCATGTGCTTCTGGATGCGGCTGAAACTAAAATGTCCTGGGCTTGTGGTTTAGTTTGGGGAGAAGAAGGCAGTTGAGACAGAGGACAGTTATTTTCTGTGACAGAATCTGTGAGGTCTCATCATAACAGAAGCAGGAGGGCCGAGGCATCTGTGTCCCTTGGCTGCCCACCCCTGGTGGCTTCAGTGGGAGGATGGGAAGCAGGAAGGAGAAGGGTGCAGGGCTTCTTGTGGGTGCAATTCCTCTTTCCTGGCTCTACCTCGGTCCTGGGTTGCTGGTGCATCCAGAGTTCCTCCAGACAGGGTGCAGGGAGCAGAGAGAGAGGGTGGCTGGGGGACAGAGGGGAGGTGGTGGAGCACTTACCAGGTTTCCCAGCAACAGGAGCTGTGAGAGAGAAAGCAAAGATCAGCCTGGTGTTTGCATATGATGATTCATCATTTCAAATAGTCATCAATCCCAGGTCAGATTCCCTTCACTTGGACAAAGATTTCCCTCTCTGCATTATTCTCTTCCTCTTCTGCATCACCCGTTTCTCCTTCTCAGCTGGGTCTTTCCTACCAACATAAATATGCTCCAGGATGTTTCATTAAAAGGATAAAACTTTCACTTGACCCTCCATAGAATTCCAAAATTGTTTCTCTGCTCCCTTTCCCAGCCTGATTTCTCAGTTCTTTTTCTACATTGGCTATCTTCATTTCTTCTCTTTCCAATCACTGAACCTCACTAGTCCACTAAAACTTTCCTTGTCAAAATAACCAGTGACCTCAATGACAAATTAAATGGACATGTTCTATTTCTCTCCCAGATTCCCCCCGTATAAGTGTAATATCTTGACCATCTACCCAGATATTCATGACAGAAAACTGCAAATCTTCTTTTATTCCTCTCCCTCCCAAACCATCTACCTTTGCACCAGTAAATTCTTGTTCATCCTGCTTCCAATTAGTCCTTAAGTGCATTGACTTTAGTCCACGTCCGTACTACTTTAGGCTACCATCAGCTTTCTTCCATCTCCTAACTTAGCTTTTCCCTTCTTCTGTTCCCCCTGCAGTTCATTCCCCACAGAGAAGCTAGAATCATTTTTAAACTAACAAGTCAGATATCAGCCCTCTGCTTACAAGCCTTCTAGGTTCCTCCTTTGCTCTTAAAGTAAAATGTAAATATTTACAAGGCCACACCTGATACGGTCCTTGCTCACCTCTCCAGCTTCATCTCATGCTCTACTTTGCCGATTCACTGAATTCCAATAATACCAGCCCTCTTTAAATTCTTCAAACTTGGGGCTTTTCTGTATGCTGAACTCTCTGAACCCACTTCCTTTGTATCTTCAAATGGCTTAATTCTTATCTTGCTTCAGGTTCTAGTCTAAAAGTCACTTCCTCAGAAAATTCTTTCCATATCATCCTGTTAACACAGGCTATTCTCTCATCTCCCCCACAACAACTGTTCTTATCAGAGTATCCTGTTTACAGCTTCATAGCCACTTCCCAATTTATATTTATGCATTGTGCTTTTTTATTTATTGTTTGTGTCCTTCAGTAGAATGTAAGCTCAAAGAGGGCAATAGCCATGTTAATTTTATTTACCAATACTCTGAAAATCATTGAGTGTTACCTAGGTGAGAGATAAGGGAACCCAAAGTTGTGATGATGTAGAAAGTGAAGATGAGGACATAAGCATAAGAGAAATTTAATAGGCAGCAAGAAAGTGGCACTGGATAAGGTATGGAGGTTTGTAAATGGGTGACCAGGAAGATAGTTAATTGTGCCCACACAAATAGAAATGTTAGGAGGAGAAGAACATTTGTGAGGGGCAGATGATTGTTGGAGTTTGAATGTGTTTTGTTTCTGAGCTGACAAATCAATTTGCAGGTTTCCAACTGGGAAAGTGGAAATATAAAATTGTATCTGACACAGCAGGAAAGATAGGTTTGGAAGTTATTGACATAGAAGTTAGCTAAAAACCAGAGTGTGCAGAAGTGACAAGTGACAGTACAGGAAATGGGTAAAGAAGTAGGACTAAGAGGAGGAGGAGAAAAACAAGTAAGAGATGAGAAAAGTAGAGAGAAGTCATCTTCCACTTATTCACTAAACGAATACTAGTGAATATTAAATATGTTCATAGTCTGTATCGTCACTTTAAGGGAGACAAAAGGCTGTCTCTCCCGTTCACTGATAAATCCCCAGGTCCTAGAACAGAGTCTGCACATAGCATTTATTTCATGTGTAAACAAGGTAGTTTGTGGAATCTTTGGAAAGCAGAGAGTGCTTGTACACACTGCCTGGCTCTAGAGGAAAATCCCCCTGTAAGAGTAGGATTGAGCTTTATTAAGTAGGCAGCGCAGCAGCACTGAAGGCATCCGTGAAGTACAGTGCCTCACCCATAGCTATAGCTGAAGAAGCCCTGGCTTCAGTGTGCAGCGGGGATTCAGAGAAGAGGAGACAGGAGCAGTCAAGACTAGACCAGAATGTGTTGTAAAAAATGAGTTACAGAGCAGTGGAGACCTAAATCCTTGGTGACACCAAAAACGCAGGTGGACAAAAATACCAGAAGTCTCTCCCAGGAATCTTGCCTAGGCCTCACATGGATATCACCGTGGCAGGGGCAGGGAAGTCTGCGCCTCTCCAGGCCTGAGCTCCTTCATGTGAAAAAGTGAGGAAGTTCAGTGTGCTCCTTTTTCATACTAGTCTACTTCATTCCATTTCACCTTGCTCATGGGGGAATGCTCTGCCTTCCTCATCTCCACCTCTTGTCCCAGTATCACCCAGCACCAAGGCCCAGGGCTCCCAGCACTGACCAGATTTTACTACCCCTCATAGCATGTAACTTGGGAAATGGCTGGTTGCATGTCTTCCTTTGGGGCCATCCTGAGGTGGATTTGATGGTCATACTCCAGAAATTGAATTTGCGGGGATATTCCTGGTGATAAGGCTACTCTACTTGGCCTTCCCTAGACTCTTTCTCCCACCAGCATTATCAGTCCATGGTCCCTATCCCAGGGCTGATAACATGGCCAGAAAGCAGCTCTCAATCACAGCCTAAGATCCTCTCCTTCTCTTTAATCAGTGATAGGATACACCTCCTTGTCTGCACAGTGAAAACAGACATGCATGATGTCTCTGGTCTCACAAGTGATGATTCTAGAATTGCCTGGTTTATGTATTCTCTGGTCCCTATTCCCTGGATAACCGGGACCCTCTTGTGCTTTTTCCCAGGTGGATCTCCTTTCGCATAAAGAGAACAGGTTTCTTCTGTCTGAAGTGGTTTCAGGGACACAGAGAACAGCCACTGCCCCCCACCACAATGTGTTTTATTGCTTCCCCACATCTCCATGGTATCACTGACTCAATAGACATGAGTTTGAACAAACTCCAGGAGATGGTGAAGGTCAGGGCAGCCTGGCATGCTGCAGCCCATGGGGTCACAAAGAGTCGGACACGACTTAGCAACTGAACAACGACATCTCCTATTTGCCTAAAACATCATCAGCTCTCTGGCCTAAGATTTGGTCCCAGTGAAACATACATTTCTAAGGAAGATAAACACCTTGGCCATCATTAGTCCTTCAGGTCTGGCTCACTGGACTTTCCTCAGAGCTAGTTCTGCGTGGGAGGTGGTAGATTACCAGGGACCTTGGTGCCCAGTGACTTTGGGCAAAACACATAAAAAACAACCCTACTTTTGTCAATTTCATAGTTTCCCAAGGCCAGCAAGTTTGTCAGAATGTGATTTTCATCAGCCTGCCTTCACCCTTCTGACTTTCCTGATGTGCTTCCCACTGCAGCCCTCATCCTCACCTCTGGTGGTAGAGAGGTTAGTGGTGCTGAGAAAGCAGTGCCCAGCAGTGTTCACCCCACCTAGCTGCAACCAGTGATCCTGCCTATTTCTGCAACAATCCAGGTGGCGGCAGCTGACTTAGAAAAGCAGACATGCCCACGGTCCTGCTCTGCTGTCCCTGCTGGGACCCCGACTCACCCAGGAAGAGCAGAGCTGTCCACAGTAGCATGTGGCCCCAAGGATGCCAGGGCGTGCAGTGAGCTCGGTTTCTCCTGGCAGCAGGGAAGGCTAGGAATGAGGGGATCCCCATCACCTCCTAGAGCGAGCAGGTTGCTCTGACAGCCCAGCACGGCAGACACTGGCTTCTCTTGAGGCTTGATAGATTCCACCCAGAGGGCAAATTCTGGAGTCCAAAAGAGGAAGTGAAAAGAAGTGTTGTTTTATCATTGGCTCCTCCCCTTCCACCCTCTTTCATCTAGAGAGTTCCCTCCCAGAAGATTCAGGGCTTCCCAGAATGAATCTGGCTCAGTCCCACTCCAAATTCACAGAAAATGTAGGAACTGGGAAACAAATTCTCCTCGTCCTCTGGGGCCACAGCTGGGCTCAGCCCCAGGAAGGAAGAGGGGAATGATCACCCCTACTCAGCTCAGAACTCCCTGTCTGTCTCTGTCTCTTTGGAAAAGGCGATGGACCAGAGTGGGCCAGGGGACTCCCCGTGCTTCTAGATCCATTTAGAGGTGCAGACACTGGCATCAGACTCCTCCTGAGACTGAGCAGAGAGGCTTGAGGCCACCTTTCCCCATCATTTGATTGCCTTCATTATCATAATCCAGATTCCATTTTGGATTGTGGAACAAGAACAGAGAAATGTGTCAGGGTGGCAATAGAATGATCATACCTGTCTTTTATCACCCCTTGTCTTTCATTCTTTTTAAAAAAATATTTAGTCATTTATTTATTTGATCACCCCGGGTCTTAGTTGCAGCATGTGGGATCTTTAGTTGTGGCATGCAGACTCTTAGTTGTGGTATGTGGCATCTAGTTCCCTGACCATGGATGGAACGCTAGGGCCCCTGCATTAAGAGTGTGGAGTCTTAGCCACTAGACCACAAGGGAAGTCCCTGTCATTCATTCTTGTACTCATCCCTCCAACAAATATCTTTTGAGGAGCAACTAGTGGCCTGGTTCTTCTCACCCTCATTCCCATCACTGTTCCCGTCACTATGGCATGGTGAAAGAGCAGGGCTTTGGAGCCATATTGGTCTAATTTTGAATGACAGATGGCTTCTCAGAACTACAGATTCCTCATCTGTATAAATGAAGATTAACTTGTCTATCCTTCAAGCAGAATTTCTCAGCCTCATTGTTATTGACATTTGGGGCCAAATAATTCTCGATGTTAGTACCTGTCTCATATATTGTAGACTGTTTAGCAGTATCCCCGATCTCCCCCCACTAGATGCCAGGGGCAACCCCTAATTGTGAAAATAGAAATGTCTCTAGACATTGGCAAATCTACGCTTGGGGGCAACCTTGTTGCTGACTAAGAATCACGGTGGTCACAGTTTTTGAAAATTAAAAGAGACTTTATGTGCTAGCACAGGCCCTGGTGCACTGTGGGTATCCAGTCAATGCTAGTCCCCCTTTTCTGCTTGCTGTCATCATCCTCATCACCATTTGTTCACCCTCAACATCCCCAGGACATGAGATGCTCTGGGATCGCTCTCAGGACCCTCCCTGGGGCCTCTCTCCCAAATGCTCTCTCAGGAAACAAGCTGTAATATTCAAGGAAATGATATTGTAAAATCTGTTCTTACACTCTGCAGTCTTCAGAAGCCTCAGTAGCAACCCCCCTCCCCCTGCCCTGCGTTGGACAAGCCTTTACTACTGGCCCCATTCTACCCCATGTCCCACTCCCAATCTACCTCCAGCCTTTGTCTGATTTTTAGGTGAAAAAGTTTCTTTAACCAATGCCAAGACTCCAGTGAGCTCTTATCAACACTTTGAAAGTTAATTTATATAATGTGACCCACAAATTGGAGCCATCCCAACAGAGCAGCCCACATCATATATCTAAGCTTAGGTAAGCCTGCACTTACAGGAAACACCTGTCCAGGAACCTAACATACACCAATCACTGTCTTCCGACTCAGCTTTAGCTACTTTACCTTACTCTAAAAGTCGGATCTTCTAGCCTTGTAAATAAACTCCCAACTTCCTAGCCAATGAGGCCCTGTTTCCACATGGCCTCTTGTAAAGCTCTGTAAAACTTGACCTTGCCCAAATCCCTTGGGAAGAGTTCTGCTTATGAGGACCTGTACTACCTCAATCCATGGCTTGCTTTCCCTTGAATAAAGGATATCAATCTTGTAACTAAATCACTTTAGCTTTGTCATTGGACAGGTAGGGTATATCTCATTTTATTGTGCTAACTTTATTGAGCTTTGCAAATTCATTTTTCACAAATTGAAGACTTGTGGCAACCTTCGCTGAATAAGTCTATTAGTACCGTTCTTTTTCTCAACTGCATTTGGCATACTTGGTGTCCCTGTGTCATATTTTCGTAATTCTCACAATAGTTCAAACCTTTTCATTATTATTATGTGTTATGGTGATCTGTGATCAGTGATCTTTGATGTTCCTATTGAAACTGTTTTGGAACTTTTAGCAATAGGGTCATAAATGAAGGTGTGTACATTGTTTTATAGACATGATACTATTGCACACTTTATAGACTATGGTATAGCATAAACATAACTTTCATATGCACTGGGAAACCAAAAAATTGTGTGGCTCATTCAATTGCAATATTGGCTCTACTGCAGGGGTTTGGAACCAAACGCGCTATCTCTGAGGTATAACCAGTAATGTCAGTGAAGTGTAGTATAAGCACAGCTACTGAGGTTCTGGGGTTGGCTCTGAGATGAAAGTGAAGGTTCCTGCAGAGCCACTTTGCTGCCTCTTCAACTGCTCTTCAGCATCTCCGGTAAATTTCTCTTAAATCGAGCTCCACCTATTTGCCATTTGGAGATCAAGTTTGTTTGTTCTAACCCTTTTAGGTGGAAATTTGGGGTGTGAGCAACTCCAGATATTTCGTGGTGAGACCTAGTAGGCCACAACATTTGAGTTTATGCCCAATCTCAGCTACAATGTAAGCATCTACAGGAAGGACAAAAAGATCTCGGGAACATGCCCTGGCAGTCAGAAACAGTAAGTCTGGTTGAACTAAGGAGGATCATTTAAACAAAGGGAAATAATAAGAGCCCCTTATGCAAAAGACTGGAAAAGGGAATGGCAAACCACTCTAGTATTCTTGCCTAAGAAATCCCATAGACAGAGAGTCTTGGCAGGCTACAGTGCGTCGGGTTGCAAAGAGTCAGACATGATTGATTGACTAACACACACACACAATGCAAAAGAAAGATGATGGTAGCCATCAGGAAACTCAGAAAGTTTGTGGTGAGCCCACAGAACAAACTGCTGACGGACTTGGGGAATGGAATTAAGACTATAAATTTGGACTATTTTGACCAAAACACATCAAAATCTAAGTAGGCACAAGACAAACTCTTGAAAGCCATCAGAGCATCTGCCACTATAAAGACATATGGGAATCTTAGAAACCAAAGCAGCAAAATTTGTGGCCACAGACTACACATTTAAAAGCTGTTAGAGTGATTACCACCTGTGTCTCAGACTCCTAGACTAGGATAAGTTGGTCAAGGAATGGGTTGGACTGACAGTACGTCATGTGCCAACCTCACAAAATTTCCTAATAACCAGATACACTGTTGAATACCATATAATCCCCAACCTGCAGGCACATCCCTATTAGGCATTAACTTGGCTCTGAGGAAGGCTTTCTTATCTCTCCTTGCTATTCTTTAGAACTCTGCATTCAGATGGGTATATCTTTCCTTTTCTCCTTTGCCTTTCGCTTCTCTTCTTTTCACAGCTATTTATAAGGCCTCTTCAGACAACCATTTTGCCTTTTTGCATTTCTTTTTCTTGGAGATGGTCTTGATCACTGCCTCCTGTACAATGTCACAAATCTCCATCCATAGGTCTTCAGGCACTCTATAAGATCTAATCCCTTGAATCTATTTGTCACTTCCACTGTGTGGAGAGCTGACTCATTTCAAAAGACCCTGATGCTGGGAAAGATTGAAGGCAGGAGGAGAAGGGGATGATAGAGGATGAGATGGTTGGATGGCATCACTGACTCAATGGACGTGAGTTTGGGTAAATTCTGGGAGTTGGTGATGGACAGGGAAGTCGGGTGTGCTGTGGTTCGTGGGGTCGCAAAGAATCAGACATGACTGAGCGACTGAATTGAACTGAACTGAACTGTATACAATCGTAGGGATTTGATTTAGGTCATACCTGAATGGTCTGGTGGTTTTCCCTACTTTCTTCAATTTATGTCTGAATTTGGCAATAATGAGATCATGATCTGAGCCATAGCCTGCTCCCAGTCCTGTTTTTGCTGACTGTGTAGAGCTTCTCCATCTTTGGCTGCAAAGAATATAATCAATCTGATTTTGGTGTTGACCATCAGGTGATGTCCATGTGTAGAGTCTTCTCTTGTGTTGTTGGAAGAGGGTGTTTGCTATGACCAGTGCATTAGCCTTAGCCCTGCTTCATTCTGTACTCCAAGGCCAAACTTTCCTGTTACTCAGATATCTCTTGACTTCCTACTTTTGCATTCCAGTCCCCTGTAATGAAAAGGACATCTTTTTGGGGTGTTAGTTCTAGAAGGTCTTGTAGGTCTTCATAGAATCATTAAACTTCAGCTTCTTCAGCATTACTGGTCAGGGCATAGACTTGGATTACCATGATATTGAATGGTTTGCCTTGGAAATGAACTGAGATCATTCTGTCGTTTTTGAGATTGCATCCAAGTACTGCATTTCGGACTCTTTTGTTGACTATGATAGCTACTCCATTTCTTCTAAGGGATTCTTACCCACAGTAGTAGATATAATGGTCATCTGAGTTAAATTCACCCATTCCAGTCCATTTTAGTTTGCTGATTCCTAGAATGTCGACATTCACTCTTGCCATCTCCTATTTGACCACTTCCAATTTACCTTGATTCATGTACCTAAAATTCCAGGTTCCGATGCAATATTGCTCTTAAGTGTCTCCATTAGTTGGAAAAGCATAGCTGCCTGTTTGTAATTCATTGTGAAAGGGAGTAGAGTATGTCATCCCAAAATATGCTTCTTTGGCATAAGAATTGTCTTGACCTGGTTATATTTAAGAAACAGCAGACACTGGGAGAGTTCTGAAAACTGAGAAGTTATTCTT